AGAAGAATTCTCATATAGGCAGATTTTATTAGCCATCTGTATATGCAAAAGTGCAAAATTCCCAGAAAAATAAGTGATAAACTGTTCAAGATACAGCATATACTTAAAAATCAAAGCCCTACATACTTGGCAAATCTCCCTCCTTTTTTTGTTTAAAATCTTTTCACTTTGTAATGAATAAGAGCATATTGTAGCTCATAGGGTTACCATGTTTTTCATATTTAGGAATTAAAATCTAGTTGGAGAGAAGTCTACCTTTTCAAGGTGTAATTTTTCACTTGGTAGTGCACCCTCCCTGATCCTCTACACATGGTACACCGCAATGCCTGCCAACCATTGCAGGTTCCACAGTTCCTGCACTTCAAGACTGCAATTAAGAAATCATCCAACTCCTATAAACTATGAACCTAGTAATATCATCAAGTTCACCATGGAAAACATTCACAACTAAGAATCTTTTAAACTTAGTTTGGAAGCTTAGAGATCAACCAGGAATACTACCAGGGTTTTGAAAAATTACACAAAATGCTATACATTTTTGTGTACAAATTACTTCTGAATGAATAGAGTGGAAAGTACAGCATCATCTTTATACATTATGCAAATAATAATTTTCTTTTACTAGAGAGTTTAGCATGTTGTTTTGTTAGATGATCAATCTACAGAGCATTTATATATATATATGCATATTTACAGGTATATACTGAAAAACCATAAACTATTACAGTGTTCGATGCTACAATATCAAACGGAGCATATGAACATAATGAAAGATAAGGACCGCCTTGAAAATTGAAAGGATAATGAAAAATACCTCTGACATATCACCTTCTTTCCCAGCTCTAATGCTATGTCATAAGTCCCTAGGGTAGCAACTGCCTGAAATCAACCCATGAATAAAACCAAAAGAGAATAAAGCACTTAGAATATGCAAGTTCCCAAGAGTAGTAGCACCTCATAACCTACTTCACTGAACTACAAATATAATTCAGCAGGCCAATATAATTATATATTCACCAATTTATACTACATTCATTGCCACAAAAATTCACACAAACCCCAATAATCAATGAACAAAAACCCATCGGCCCGATTAACCAAATGACACAAACCATACAAAACTTCAGTTAACTTCTCAGAATTGCATACCAAAATCCATTCTTTAACCCAAAACTCAGAAAACACCACTAACCCATTTAGAGAGACCTAGTAACACATGGCACGGAATGAAAATTTCCAGTATTAAGTTAAAAGAGCAA